ATAAGTTCGGTAGATTACTTTTTTTGAGTTTCGTCCAACTTAATGATTAACTGTGGTTTTGCCTCAGCTTACTATTCGGTTTTTTTCCAGTTTTTCACGTAAAGGCTAATTCATTTTATCTTTTCCTTTTTTATACATTTTTCCCGTTCTTAGTGTCTTTTTAACGGTCTTAAGCTTTTGATAGTATCTATAATACAGTTTACGTCAATACAGTCATGAAAAATTCATGCAAACGACCTGAATGCCGTTTTGCTGTTACATCTGGCATGCAGTGCGACAACTGCAAAGGTTGGTTCCATGAAGCGTGCACAGATATCACGGCAACTGCTTACAATAGACTCAGCAAGTCGGATCATAAGTGGTATGTGTTACGTGCAGCACGGATGCTATAGTATTGCTGAGTAACATCATTATCCTATTGACAGGTCTGTGGAATAAGTTGTCAGCAAACTTGGAAAAAGATAGCCATAAAACAGGTAGACAAACAAGGGCACGTAATGAAAACAAGAATAGGGACGTCGATAGGTCTACCATCGATGGAGCATGCACTAGCTCTAATGATGACATGTTGAAACTCAGCACAACCATTACGTCGACGGTAATAGACTCCCTAACTAAACTCGGGTCTCCCAGCTGAGGGTCCTTAAATTCAACAGCGGTTCCCAAAAACTCTACAGGTGATTGCGCCCACGTTAACAGAGCTAAAAAGGACCAGGCGTCACCGTCTAAGCTAAACATCGCAAGTGTTGTACGGAAATCAACTGATGATTTGATCGCTTAGTCTACCCCCAAGAACGTCCGCCCGGTTATCAAAAAGCCTAGGATTCAGAAACCTGCTTCGCCCTTCAAACAACAACGTGCTGAACATGAACGCCCCGGAAAACCTGGGAAAACAATAACGGTCCGTGATAACTCTCTCATAATCACGAACCTCAAAGACAACCCTGACCTTCCTCTCAGTTTGCAGGACAAAAATGACAGGAAGCTCTGAGGTGAATTGGACAAAAAGCTTGAACTTCCCAGAATAGAGTCTTTGACGGTCACACGGCTCACTCGGGGAAAGGAATCTAAGCATCAAAATCACCCGAGGCTACTTCGTGTAACACTCAAGAATGCTACCGAAGTAGAGGATGTCCTGCTAGCTATATGCACGAAGGCTATAAGAGAAGACAGGCTTCAGTACCAGTTAAAGCTTATAGATAAATTTATTTCTAATTCAAGAAGCTTATTCCGTAACGCAGCCTCTCTCCATCAAGCCAAAACTGGAGTTTCTCAACTGCTGAGACCTAACGGCCCGATTGATAATGACGGTGACGCCGCCAACCTTCTGGCTGAGCAATACTCCCGGACATTTCAACCGACCCACATCAACTATACTGATGACGGCCTCATCTGCAACTGCACAGGACTTTCCGTAGTGAACCTGAGCGCTGACTTGGTGTTCCGAAAACTGCAGCATCTAAGAACAGACACTTCTCCTGGTCCAGATATGGTCCACTCTGCTATACTGAGGGAAGCAGCTTCAATCCTGGCAACACCGCTTAGCGTGATGTTCTCACACTCGCTAAGTCGAGGCAAACCACCGGAAAGTTGGGAGCTGACTCATATCAAACCAATCTTCAAAGGAGGTCGACGCAAAGAACCTTCAAGTTGCCAACGGATGGCTCTTCTCTCTAAACCTTCAAAAATCATGAAGTCCCTGATATACGATGGTATGCAGACTATCTGCTGTCCTTAAGTTTCTTCTCACCTTAGCAGCATGGCTTCAGGAAGGGTTATTCGTGTATAACCAACCTGCTGACTGCGGTGGACAGATGGACATGCATCGTTGATCGCAAGGGGAAGGTGGATATCTTTTACCTTGATTTCTCAAAAGCGTTTGATAGGGTTAATCACATATGTCTTATCAATAAGCTCAGACAATTGGGCATCAAACCACCTCTAATTGATTGGCTCAGTTCATAACTGACAAATCGACATTTTAAGGTCAGAGTAAACTCCAATTTATCACACGCTATGGAATGTCCTAATGGGGTCTCTCAGGGCTCAGTACTAGGACCTCTTCTCATCTTGATTTATATAAATGATCTTCCACAAAAGATATTGTCAAACTTACTACTTTTTGCTGATGACGTGAAACTTTGGGAGAGATATGAAACCAAGAGGATCTGACTCGACTTCAAAGTTGGGCAGACGACAATTGTCTTACATGTAACACTTCAAAGTGTAAAGTAGACCATCTGCAGCATGTTGCAGACTACGGTTACAACTTAAGAAACTCCTCTCTAGTAGTAACCCTAGTCGAAAAATATTTAGGAGTCCTGACGCCCTACGACTTGAAGTTTTACGCTAACTGTGACAGAAATGCCTTTCGAGCAAACCTTGCACTTGTAACATTGAAGCGCATTTTTGGTCAGTTTCACGGAAGAACTTTCCACATGATTTTCAACAGTTTTATTCGTCCCCATTTAGAGTACGGAAACATAGTATTCCCTCCTACACTCCAGAAGGATAAGGACACTCTGGAGCGTATCCAACGGCGAGTCATGAAATCAGTTCGGGGACTCAAATTTAAACCTTATGAAGAGCTCCTCCAATCACCTGACCTTTACCCATTGGAGTATAGGCGTCTTAGAGGTGACCTTCTAATGGCTTACAGTATCCTTAACACTTCTGGACATCCTCTTAAACACCTACTTAAGCTTAGTCCCAACACTAACCTAAGGGGTAACACCCAGAAATTGGAGATACAACATAGCAGAACGGACTGCAGACACAACTTCTATTCCTTAAGAGTTGTCAAATTCTGGAATTCGCTGCCGGCTGAGCTAGTCGAAGCGACTTCCCAGGAGTCCTTTAAGAGTTGATTTGATTTATTCCTAAGTCATAGTATCTTACTATGATTTACCAATTTATTTCTTTCTCTTTTATCGTCAATATACCTAGGTTCCTGCCTGGAGGTATTGGTGATCCCCTGCTACTAGACACGGTAGCCTGTTAAGCGAAAGCTTCTATTCCGTCCACAACCATTCGAACCATTTGAAAAGTACACCATACTCACGCCCTTGAACAGGCCAATTATAATTAAGATATATTGCGCGAAATTAAAAGTGCAGTGCCTTTTATATCAACTTGTAGATTCGTTTATCAGATTGTCCTAATCCCATTTTTGTGTTGTTTTTGATTATTCATAATCACTTTTGCGAATAAACGTAAGTGATTTTGCTATACTTACTGAGTTTTCAGCTCTGTTTTTTTACTTATTGCTCCCGAATTCATCCACATACTACTCATCTCACTCCTTCCGCACACGAAGTACCTTCAGAAGACGCAAATCTATTAAAGCTAAATATTACAGTGCTAGATAGCTTGTGTGTTGTGATTAACGCGGTAAGAGTTCCTAATATTCGGTTCCTGAAACACTTGGGATTTTTAAAACTTTTTAACTATGCAACGTTGCATAGTTAAAAATTGATTTGTACGAATCAATGAATGTGACGAAGTGCTCAAAACAAATTATAAGTAATAAACGTCCCTTATGCAGCTTGTGTTTTGGAGTAATCAGTGTGATTGAACGCATACTTAAAGGTGTTTTTGTAGGTGGATAGCGTCTCTTCACTCTAACTCTTAATTTTAAACATCAACTTAATTTTTTTTAATTTCGTGAATGAAAGAGTGCCTGTACATTATTTGATTATAACTAATGTCATTTGATGACGGAAACTCCATGGGGTGTTATCTCAACTCACAAAGATAGCATGACTCCTATTATTTCGTGCTTTCAGTTTTACGATAATGAGTAATTTAACATATAGGAGACTGTTCGTCATATCGTAATCCCTACTCCACCTTGATTTTGTTGGCTGGGCATAAGCCCCACGTTTTCAAGTTATCTATTTGTACCGTATTTAGTAATTGCGGTTATTTTTAGGTTTATTTAGTCACTCAATTGTGAATTAATTTTAGGTACGTCTCTTGCTATGCTGTAATTTTTCTTCGGTCATTACTGACTACCCTGCACCTGGCATGTCCGTAACATGATGAAGTGGTGTTTCCGTCGTAGAAAACTACATTTTTTATAAAAATCGGCGAAAAGGACATAGCAAAATAGACCCTCCATGAAGGATCACGATACTGGTCATCAAGAGCAAGGTCCAAATTATAAACAAGAGTAAAGCCCATCCTTCTGATATTATTTTTAAATTGTTTCATAATTAAGCAGCGTTTCTTGATTGGCTGGTAAGCGGTTTAACATGGTTAGTGTAGCGTACGTTTACCTTAATTAGCGGCTTACATATGATTAAAGAATGTTTATGCATAGATTACTAATGTTTTTATCACTAATTGACACCAGCTATAACAAAAAAATGAATGTCGGCCTAAAATCTGATTGGTGTGTCTCATCTTTACTCTCTATGTTACAGATAGTGATTATTTAAGTAATAGCTCAAATTTCAAATCAGTATACTTAACATTTATTGCAGTTCAATTTGTGTACTATCTGGTTGATCGGATGCATGCTTCAGGAAACCTAGGATTTGTCATTCACACTATAGTTGTTTCCTCTTACATTTTAAGACGTTTCCGTTACATTCGTTATCATTATAATGGATGTACTGGAGGACAAATAAAACAAATAAAAACTAGATTATGAATAATTCTGCATATACATTTAGGTAGACCCCAAATGACCTGGTATGGCCGAGAGCGGGGAGGGTTCGCCCTCCCTCTCGAAATACTCTCACACGGCCACGCGTATACAGCCTCTGCCAGGGAAGTCCTACTCACTGCCTTCGCGTGGCGGGGGTGTTGTTTACGAAAATGAGAGGACGAAAAGCGAATGTCCGGCGCTATAACCGGATCCCCCTAAGAAAACCACCTGCTTCGGTTTGGGCACCCGGGCAGTATATCAGCCCACTCACTAAAATCATGATGAACTATTTGATTATGGAAAATATTCCTTTCTCTCTGATTAACATTGAAATGACTCGTACTATTATTATTATTATTATTATTATTATTATTATTATTATTTTGCCACGTCATTTATTCACTCTCTCTTATTCCTACTTTATGTATCCGTTTCGACCTAGACAGCAGCTCGCCTATGGTGGACATTCGGCTCTATCTAAACGTGTCACTGTCTGGTTGAAAATTTTATGCTACCACCGAATACGAATACTGAAGCAGTTTTTCTGAAACCACGTGCACCATTCAAACTGGCTGCCTTCAACGTTCGCACACTTATGCAGGTCGGACAACAGATAGGTCTGGCTATGTCTTTGGAAAGTCTTAGTATTGATGTGTGTTGTCTATCAGAGACCCGTATTCAAGACTCTGGTGAAGTACTACAAGTTCGCTGTCCATCTGTCACTTCAAAAAGCTAACTTTCGGCACAGTCATCGCCGATGTGCCACCTGGCGTCCCCCTTCTGCATCTCAAGCATGGATACAGATTGATCATATTGCAATCAGCTACCGCTGGCGTGGTTGTGTACAAGACTGCCGCTCCTTTTGGAGTACCTATCTGGAATCTGATCATGCCCTGATCTGCGCCAAACTTACCTTACTTTTCAGTGGACAACGAAGTGACCGCCACCAAAGAATTGATGTTAGCAAGCTGGTTGCAACTTCTGTTGCTAGTAAGTATCGAACCGAGCTAGCTTCTAGGCTAGCTACCATTCCACCGAAAAGTATAGATGAGCATTGGTTGCGATTGCATGACGCCATGAAAATGGCGGGTCAAGTCAGTTGTGGGTTCGCGAAACGTCCCGCTTACAAGCACTGGGTTTCTTCTGGTTCCTTACAACTGATTGAAGCCCTTCGGTCTACTCCGGGTGACCGTGAGTTTGACCACAGACGAAGGATGTTACGTAATGAAATCGGGCAAAGTTTGCGTAAGGACCGTGAAGCCTGGTGGCGGCTTGGACATGTTCTACGAATGTCATCCCACAGAATTCCTCGTCGTGCATTATTTGCCGACTCTGGGACTGGTTGGAAAAAGCGGAGAGGTGGTCAGTATATGACATGGTGTCATGGTATGAAAGAAAGCTACAAAGGGCTGGCTTGTGTTGGTTCTTCACGACTCCCTCGCTGGGGTCCGAGAGATGGTGTAACACAGTGGCTGGAGACGTTATCAGATATGCCTCAGAATAGAAGCCAGTGGCGATCCTGCTGTAACCTTCTTTTACTTTCTTCATAAAAAGTGGTTGCTTCTTCCTTAAATGGAAGATTTCTTCTGATTGTACCTTTCCGTCTCGCCCATGATTTCCATTATTATCACATGACCTTACACTAGTCTGTTCGTTATTATTCTTTTTTTAAGCTCCTTACCCTCTTTTTTTGTTTTTCTTTTCTCTTCAAATTCTCATTGTTTTGTGTGGCGCATAAATATTTGGTGCCCTCTTTTACCAATATTTATGTGTTCAAATTCATAATAAATAAATAAACCGTCTAAATTCTTGAAGAAAATATCGACCCACAAAAAATTGTATGGGTAACTAACTTATTTTTTCTGAGGTGGAAATCTGTTTAGCATACGGTAACCAAAATTCGCTGGTAAATGTTATTTCTATTCATTTTGGGAAACTTCTTGTCCAAAAGTACAAATCAAAAACATTACAGGCCGAAATTGATTATCAGCATGAGAATTTTCGACTATCGTTTATGGTGGGGTTAGAATTTCTGTGATAATTAATAATGACTTACCTGATATGTAAGTGGTTCTTTGTACCAGTGCCGAATAAGAACGATTTTTGATCGGACCGCGTAAAATATATTCTCTTGTATTTCTGCTTTGGTAAGGACCTCCGTGATTTAATCTAGTCCTCTCTTTTCCTATGTTTTGCTTTGTCCTGTTTATCTCTCATCAATCAACCAACACTAGTAGAAAGTGGTCGTTGAGTGTTTGCTTAAAACATAGTAGAGTAAATATTTCCTACTTTTAGATACTAATCAAACTAGTTGTATACATTATTGACAAGGAGACCGTACGCCTATCGATATAACTGATTGAATGACATGTCGCTTCCAAGTGCAACTATAAGAGATAAATGTCAAACAAGTATTGTACTTGTTAGGGTTTGAAAAAGAGAGAGAGAGAGAGGTTCACGTAGTTTGCGAACGAGAACGAGATTCGATGACCAAGACCAGTAAGCTAACTATTGACGCGTCCCAGCCCCGCTATCTAGAGTGAGAAGACCAAGCTTAGAATGAAAGTATATTCTGTAACAACCAGAAAACCAGCAAACTTTTTACAAGACAATTTTAAACGTATATATACAAATATCTACACATCGATATTGCCATGGAGCTTTTAGGCATCTAATCGATAGTTCGTCAATTGACTGCCATTGAATTATTTAAACATTTGATCGATAAATTCATCAATCGACTATATGCGTGGGTGGTAAGAATGCCCACGTATACATCTGCATACAAGCTCCACAAGATAAAATTACAAACTATGAGTTTTTAGGGATCTACCGTCCCCAACACTCCTCCCCTTTTTGAAGATCCGGATTTTAAGTTTTCCGTGTTCATCCTCCCCCACGAAACAATGTTGGGTCCTCATATACCCAAATTACAATTAGCTTGACTATATTTAAAACATATTGAGCAGAGAATCCAGTAAAATGGACCGGGTGGTGAGGATAAACGCCATTTAATTTGAGGTCATCAAAGTTTGAATCTCCTGAAATCTTGTTATCAATTTTATTGGGAGCCTCATTTGTAGATGATGAATCATTAAGATAATCAACATCTGATCTATGTTCTGGTAAAACAGAATCTCGATAATAAGATTCGTCAGAAACTTGTGTCACATAATGATGAGAACCATTTGTAGCAGCTGCCTTCATTGTACTGCTCGATTTATTTTCTGTTTCATGGGTGGTTACTGCAACACTTCCATGAACATCTAGCAGGGCGTCCTTTTGTGAGCTGGATGCATCACTGTCTTTACATGCTGTTTCGGGGATAATGGAGTTTGGATCCATTACCGCGCATGTTTCTGGAGTGGGGAGCACTGGATCACCGGGCGGATCTTGAGTGACAACTGTTTCGTTTGAAGTACGGGTTATCGAGGATTCATCGATGCTGCAATCATTATCCAGTTCAGTGTGCAGTTGAGAAATCAATTCATCCACTTCCGTCGCATCACCAAAGCATGAGTAATTCAGTAGCTGCGTGCGTAAATTGACTAATAAGTCCAAGTGTCGCTCGAATAGCAGCTGTAATCGATCGGAAGGGAGAGTCATTTTTTCTTTTTACCCCGTCGCCAATTGTTAGGGTTTGAAGATAGAGAGAGAGAGCTATCACGGGTTCACGTAGTTTGAGAACGAGATCGAGGATTCGGTGACCAAGGTCCAGTAAGCTAACTATTGACGCGTCCCAGCCCCGCTATCTAGAGTGAGAAGACCAAGCTTAGAATGAAAGTATATTCTGTAACAACCAGAAAACCAGCAAACTTTTTACAAGACAATTTTAAACGTATATATACAAATATCTACACATCGATATTGCCATGGAGCTTTTAAACATCTAATCGATAGTTCGTCAATTGACTGCCATTGAATTATTTAAACATTTGATCGATAAATTCACCAATCGACTATATGCGTGGGTGGTAAGAATGCCCACGTATACATCTGCATACAAGCTCCACAAGATAAAATTACAAACTGAGTTTTTAGGGATCTACCGTCCCCAACAGTACTGGTCCTAGGAATTGAAGGCTAGTCAGTATGTTGTACTAGAACAGACAGATGACTTTCTACAGATTCATCTCCTAACAGGAAATTCACTTGTTGACTTAGAATGCCCAGGTGATATCGTTCGGTTTGGTGAAGACTTTGACAAAATACCATCTTCCAACCACTTTAAGCAACAATCCAAGCATGTTAAGGATGCGGTTTTCTCCCTTCAAATATAAAGTCACTTCAGGATGGGTTTGTGTCATCGCCTGAACTAATGATGCGTAGTGAAGTGATGGGCAATGTTTTCTGGTGTAGCAGTAGGCTGAAAGAAAGCTAAGGGTGGCCGAACCAAAACATGAAGTCAGTCCATAAAGTCACTAACAATTGGACTTAGCCATATTAATAGGTGCATCTATTCTTTGTCTTCTTCAAATCCTGAGATTCTAAACTCCTCATAACTTCTATTTGTTTTTGTTTCAGTAATTTATATTATCTTCGATACCTAATTTTTCCTATTCCCACTGATACTGTTACTACCTCTACTATTCTGAGATCTGGCCTGACAATGTCATCTCTGTGCTAATGGGGTATGACAACTTGAACCGTACGTATAGGTTCTACGTTGTGACAGAATGAGCTGAAATCTCAGTGATTAAGTCATAGTTGAGTAGTTCAGATAACATCTTACAATCAGTAGACCACTTCAAACACTGAAATATAGTCAAGCTGGTTTCAAATTTGATATCAAAGCTGTTCAGTCACGTAATAGCCATATGGTAAGTAGTTAGATACTATATGCCTTAAAATTTATGCAGGTTTACAAAATAACTTACTAATTCGTATGTCATATAGAAAGGAGTTAAAGTCAACGTCAGCTTGTTTGTCAGGGTTTTAATGTGGTGTAACAACTTGGGTCTATGCACTCATATCCCAGTTTTTACATTGTATATGACTGACTGTTTGTCATTATGGACGAATAGTGTAGGTCGGTACTATTAATCAGGTACATGTTGCTATTTGTTTACTTTTAAATATTAACTCTTGGATGTATTGAAGAGACACAATTGTGTGCTAGATATGCAACCCTTTTTATGTGTAATAATGTACTCATTACAAGTACTATATCTCAACATTTAGATCTCTTCAAGATTTAACGATCAACAATTTCTTTATTATTTCACCGGTTGACGTATAGTGAACTTAACCAAATCAATACATTAAACTTTCATGCTTGTCTTTTGATACTCGCTTTTGCACGCAGAATGTAGTTGTTTAAGTCACTAGCCAGTACCATTTATTAGAGTACCGTTAATTTTTTTATCCACATATTATTTACTTTAATCTTTAAAAGGAAGTTTGTTTCTACCAAGCAGAAATTAATAACCTCGTTACCACTAAGTTTGTGGGGTTTTTGTATAGACTAATTTATTTTCAAATGAATTGTATATGTAAAATTTGCTTATGATCGATGTTTTTTCGTAGTGACAGTTGATTTTTAGCATTAGATAACTCACGTGTTTTGGTGTATGGAAGAAAGTACTTCTAACGATAGTAGTGTTTTTTTATTGTATTCCGATACTACATCCACACTTAATTTCATTGGATTTGTAGCTCCGAATCAGTTTAAATATGTCAACCCCAAGAACATATGAATCAATGAAGAAACTACTTGAATGTGCTAAATTGGATATCTCTTTCACATCAAACATATTTCAGTCAGTGAAATTTGACTATCCATTATTATCCGAAGAGTACAAATTGATTGAAGTGCCAAATTGGTTAGCCGATGAAGTGATGCATGAAAGAGTGGACCAAGCTATAATTTTAAAAGGTGAACATAAATCTAATAATACAGGGCGTGTATTTGCTTGCATAAGTGACAAAACTTTTTCAGTTATAGAAGCAAAAACGTCTAATACGCTCCTTTTAGCTTCTAGTTGGTGGTTGCCTTCATCCGATGGGCCTAAAGAGAATTTAGTACTTGTTACACCAATTCAAGCTGTCAAAAATAATTACTTTGAACTTCAGCAATGTTCAGCTCCATCTTTAAAACAACTGAGGCTTTTGTTATCTCCATCTCTCTATTATGGTCCTGTTGATGATGAAGGTGATTCAGAGAATAAAAGCTCTAGTCTGAGCTATTTTGATCGTGATGCTGTTGAAACCCGACTGCCATGCAGTAAGCTAGAGCTTAATGAGGCGTTTCGACGATTGCATGTATGTGAAATCAATGGATACTTACGAATGCTTGATTATGAATACATGACACAGGTATTTTAATTGTGTATATCATTCAATACTTTGACTATCTCCAGATTCAATCTTACTGTTCTTAGTTATTTTTAATGAAGTTTTCTTGTTGCAGGTGTGTTTGTTTTTGATTATTTAAACGGTACTCATCTATATGTTTAATACCTCTCATGCTCTCAGAAAGACATACAGTTACCTCTCCCAGCGCCTGTCTCGCGTTCTCATCTCTGTAATTAATTGCTGAAGGCAATCCTTTTTATGCAAAGTTTATTAATACGTTCCGTTATCAGCAATGTTTATTGTGTGTCGGACATGTCGAAATGTATTTTGAGCAGTTAACTTAGACTAATAATAACTATTCAGAATCGTTTTTAAAAGTTCATGAGGATGAAAAGCTTTACTAAGTATTTGTTTTTGATAGCGAAGAGTAATGTATTAACGAATAAGCACTTGGTTATTTAAGTGGACTGAAGGATCACTGATCAAAAACAAATCTACGTTGAAAAAATTTCTGTATATCCATATTATCGTTGATAAAGAGCGGAAAACTTCAGAACTTTAAACTGATTTAATAATCGAAAGTTCGTCCTCTTGAAAAAGCATTTGACCACTGGTATGACAGGTCTAGGAAAAACTGATCAGCTTTAATTAAAGTGACAAAATAGTACGTTATTCAGTCTATGGCATGTAAATGCGAGCACTATTTCTTGTCAGCAAGTTATAGTTTCTGGTGTCTTAAATTAGGAAAGTTATATTTTTTTACTTCCCCTCACATAATAATTGTGCCCCAACCGACTAAAAAAGTATAAGTAGCTTATAAGTTTCATTTATCATGAAGTTATGGCTTGTTGATTTTATTTGAAATCTAGTTTAGCTTGATTCTACTTTTTTCGTTTATTGGAGTGAAAAAATATACAAACATGCTCTGGGCAGTCTTAAGATACAATCTATGTATAACTCAGTAACATTTCGATTAGGTTGTGTTTAGTGTTGCAACGCGGTTGGTTGTAAGGCTAACTTTTAAAAATACCAATGATCCGAGTTGGGAACTTACTAATTATTTGCTTCTAAATTCTGACATGAAGTGTGTTTTTGATGGCTTGGCTGTTTAAACACTCGACTTTCAGCTACTTGATCACAGGTATAATCCTGCTCTATCTAATTTGGTTTGGATAGACAGATAGCACCAATAGCCCTCACACTGCGATTACTACTCACAACAAATCATATAAACCTATACTAGAGTTTTGAGTTATATAACTTCATTGAGTTTAACTTGGGAGCTACAAAATTTTATTTTTTCCTATAAATAGGTAGTTAGAGATCTTTTTGCCCTTGCTGATGAAAATGCATGGGACTGGCGCAAACATGGCTTCCCTTTGCATGCCTCAATAGAAGGCTTGGCAAATCAGCACCTTCCAAATATTACCAAGCAAATTATGATGTTAATTTGCTCTCAGCTAGAAAATCGAAAAGCACTTGATTCTAAAGATGTATACGTTTACCCGCGGAATTCGAAAGTTTGTCAAATAGTTGGGGAACATCTACTATCAGTTATTAGCAGCTTTGACCTAAATGACTTCTTAACACTATGGAAAGCATCAGTTCCCAACGGACTGCGACCGAAGCTTCGTCGTCATTTAACTTGCGCTGGACGTGCATATTGTGAAATAACACCCTTACCTACAAATGGTACAAGTGTAAAACTGGAAGGTAATGATATCCGTTCTCGATTTCGATGTATTTCCCTGTTACGTTCTGAGGACTTACCTGATGAGAGTGTTGAGGCGCGTCTTAATGCATTATTTGAGAGGTGTTCTATGTGGCCCGAACCAGAAATAGGTAGTTTCCTAACAGAATTGTTACCCCCACAACCTCCCAGGAAAAAGTCTTCCTCTAAACACTTAGTCCCAGAAAAAGGATCTCAAGTAGATACGTTTTCTGACGTTTCGTATGCTGATTCTGATTCAGACTTCAGTTATGAAGATTATTGTACAGAGTCTACTGAAACTGTTTCAGCACTGGAAGATGTACCCTTACCAACGCCACCTGCTGTTTGCTCACTTCTAAACAAATTCTGTCGTGTTAATAATAGTTCAGTCGGACGTGTATTAACTCAACGACATTCGAAGTAGAAATTAGCGTCGTATCTTACAGTGTGTATGATCTGTATTCTTTAGATGATTAATCATGTTAATTATATTGTTTATTGTTGTTTGTATAATGTTGAATAGAGTCATCAATAATAATCACTATTATTAATAATTTATGTATTAATATTGAGTTTAAAAAGTTGTTCATTAGTTATTTATTTGGTTTGTGAAGATATAAAGGTGGGGGTATGTAAATGTATTTAATCAGTATATCAAACTTTGGGCTGATGGATAGAGAGAAACATGATTCATTTAACCGATCATGTACGTTTATCGAGATATATGACTTAAAATTTGGCTTGGGTTTTCAGAGAGTTAGTCAACTATAAACAACATAAAACTTGGTATAACTGTGTAACAAACCACTTTATCTCATATCATATCAGCATCATGAGTGGATATTAATTAGATTAACCGAGTATAATAATATCAAAAATATCACACAATTTGGATAACCCTCGTCTTCTCATTACATTATCGAAATTTATCATAGGGACTAATTGCTTTAAATACGAACAATAATCAAAAACTAAACATGATAAATATTAACTCATATTTGTATTGGTTGTTTGAATCTCCCATTGATCTTAAGAACCTCAAGGGATCAGTCTCTTATTAGAGAAGATTCAAACTACCACTACAAAAATGAATTAAATTTCACCTCATTTCACAAGTCAGTGGCTATATGGACTCATTAGCAAAGTGGATAACGCGATGGCATTTGAAGAGATTGGTAATGGGTCCGAGTCCCGGATTGAATATGGACTCTGAAATGCAGGTACATCTAGCTGAAGAGTCCTGATTAGGATGAAACGCGCTTCCTGGATTCCACTGTGAGCCACTATCCTCTCTGCCTATAGGAAGCATTAGTTTAAAAAGAAAGAGTAAATTTGGAATATGCGAATTATAGTTTGAGGTTTATATGAGGATAGAGGAAGAACTCATCGTTATCAATCCCACTAATTTCAAGCCATATCTCCTATGGTCTCCAATCAAAGATTACTTCATGCATTGATGATTTGACTTGACCATCAGCTTAGCCAGCATAGCTGATCCAGGTAAACGGTTGCTCAGTATGCCCAGGTCTCTTAATTAGTAATTTGGTTTCTATGCACGTTGTTTACAAAAGAAAGTGACTTGACTCTACCCGTCTTAATCTCTCTGAATGTCGTAAATTTAATAGATTTCATTCGTTATATTGAATAGTACAGCTAATTAACAGTAGTAATCTGTTTGTACGCTTTTGAGGTTTACGAATGTTACTGTAATAGGGACTGTTTCTACATCAAACTGCTGGATTCAGAAAATAGTTTGAAAATTTAGGGTGGGGTCAAGTTATGATTTTCGGTAGGATATGATTTACAATTATAATAGGATAGACATATAACTTGATATCATTACAATGATCAAGGTAATAAAATGCTGGTAGGAAAATGTTGACTACTCTCTTCATGTTTGAATGATGATAATAATCGGATTTCGTTTGATCTATTTTTACCCTGATAACTTTGCAAAGACTCACTAGGTATTAGTGTTAAGAGGCAATAGGCAGGAATAATTTATTTATTTATTTGAACACATAAATATTGGTACAAGGGGGCACCAAATATATATGCGCCACACAAAACAATGAGAATTTAAGAAGGGAAAAAATGTAAGGAACGTAGGGGATTATAAAAAAAGTGAGAGAACAATAATGGGGGAAACGGAAAAATACAATCAGAAGAAATCTTCCATTTAAGGAAGAAGCAACCACTTTTTATGAAGAAAGTAAAAGAAGGTTACAGCAGGATCGCCACTGGCTTCTATTCTGAGGCATATCTGATAACGTCTCCAGCCACTGTGTTACACCATCTCTCGGACCCCAGCGAGGGAGTCGTGAAGGACCAACACAAGCCAGCCCTTTGTAGCTTTCTTTCATACCATGACACCATGTCATACACTGACCACCTCTCCGCTTTTTCCAACCAGTCCCAGAGTCGGCAAATAATGCACGACGAGGAATTCTGTGAGACGACATTCGTAGAACATGTCCAAGCCACCGAAGTCGGTGTTTCAAGATGGTGGCACCAATGGAATTATCGTCTCTGTGCCCGAACACACGATGCCGAACCTCTGTATTACTAACATGGTGTCGCCACTGGAAGTCAGCAATCCTTCGGAGACAGAGATGATCGAACACAGAGAGTCGTCTAACATCCTCAACTCGGAGAGGCCAGGTGTCGCAAGCATAGAGCAAAACAGCTCTTACCGACGCGTTGTAGATCCGACCTTTTACAGCCAGACTAACATCAGGAAGGCGCCAAAGATGGCCCAGATTGGCATAAGCCGCTCTTGCTTTCACTACACGTAAATTGATCTCATCACTCACGCCACCACCAGCACTTATGCAGTTACCCAGATACACGAACTTCTCGACTACTTCTATCTGCTCACCATCCAGGATGAGTACAGGATTAGAATCCTGCCAGTCTTGTAGAAGTACTTTTCACTTCGGATGTGTAAAGCACATACCATACCTATGGATACTGATTGCCAACTGATTAAGAAACTCAGTGCTTATAAGCGGGACGTTTCGCAAAGCCGCAAGCGGCTTTACTCGCCATTTTGATGGCGTTATGAATTTGCAACCAACGCTCATCTATACTTTTCGGTGTAATGGTAGCTAGCCTAGAAGCTAGCTCGGTTCGATACTTACTAGCAACAGAAGTCGCAACCAACTCGCTGACATCAATTCTTTGGTGGCGGTCACTTCGTTGTCCACTGAAAAGTAAGGTAAGTTTGGCGCAGACCAGGGCATAATCAGATTCCAGATAGGTACTCCAAAAGGAGCGGCAGTCTTGTACACAACCACGCCAGCGGTAGCTGATTGCAATATGATCAATCTGTATCCATGCTTGAGATGCAGAAGGGGGACGCCAGGTGGCACATCGGCGATGACTGTGCCGAAAGTTAGTGCTAGCCAGAAACACGTTGTGGTCTGGGCACAGTTGCAGTAGACGTTCCCCGTTATCTGTCCTGCGACCAACGAGTCCCCATCGGCCACCTAAACGACTCTCTTCTGTGCCTAGACGCCCGACCTGAGCATTCAAGTGTCAAGCTAGTACTGCAATATCTGTCGAGCGCACTTTCTGGAGAAGAACAGTTAACTGGCGGTAGAATTCATCCTTGATTGTATCCAGGCTGCAATCTGTCGGGGCATAGGCGGAGATGACGAAAAGACATCGTTTCTCACGCCGATTTCTTCTCACATTGATGGAACTTTCTAATCTAACAGCACATAACCGACTGTTAATGGGGATCCAGTCGACTAGTGCTGCCTCAGCTCTAGCGCTTAGTGCGACACCAACGCCAGCAAGACCAGACGAAGATGCCACAGGTTCCCCGGATAAACGCACATAAAACAAGCTTTTTGAAGTGACAGATGGAGAGCGAACTTGTAGTACTTCACCGGAGTCTTGAATAAGGATCTCGGATAGACAACAAATGTCAATATCAAGACTTTCCAAAGACATATACATATACATAGACTTCAAACGTCCATTCTCATCTTTCGGTGTGCTCTGCCCTCTGAACACTCTTCTCATCTTTTCTGGTTTTTTTCCAACCTTGCGCTTTCGATGTACTGAAACTACACTCGGTCTGGCTACTTCGATTCTGCGTTCCGCTATGTGCTACTTACAATCAGTTCTGTTAGTAGCGTTCATTTCACTAGTTCCTCACCATGCGAAACGTAAAATCACATATTTTTTCACTCACTATTGGGAATTATACAATGTAAAATGGTGAATAATATGCTGAACAAACTGAGTAATTTTGAATTGTTAACTTATTGGGTGAAAATCATATGGTTGTGAAGTGATATTTATCCGAACAATCAGTGTTTTTTTTCAACATTAGTTTAATTTATTACTCCTTTTGAAACGTTCTCTAATTTACGTTATTTAAATAGCTGTGATTTAGAATAAAAAAAATAATATATACGATTATTGTCATATTGCATAAAATAATTCCCAACCAACCAAACGTCCATTTGTTGATTAGTTGGCGCCACTACCTATCAGGCAGATAAATTATATGGAAACTGGGGTCGATGAAGATATGTAAGCTTTTAAGGTCTAACATCCATTTTAACCATGAGATCACATTAATAAGCTTGAATTCATATATCGAGATTTAGTTTGTGTATTGTAATTAGAATTTGACCCATTTAGTTAGTATTTTTCACTTTTTAATTCAATTTCTGTTTAGTCAGCTGAAAGCAGTCAGTCTGTTGCAGCTAGTGTTTCATATGAATTAAGGCTATGAGTGACGACTGGCCATCTATTTCAACCAAGTGAAATCAGTTTGGCTTCTCGTTCATACATCACTATAGACCATTATGGTCAGAATTTTCGTGATCACTTTCTAGAGCTGTAGAATATGACTGCTTGATACTTACCGAATTTGAATGATGTAGTTCAGTTACAAAGTACATGTTTATATACTTAATTTTCAGCTACTTTAGGTAAATGATAATGATACTTCACGATTTTTTAAACGGAAGTAGGTCAGGAGCGGTTTGAACAACAACGTGATGATTTAAAGACGATTGATCCGACCATTAAGCTACCTCTTTGAGCACCACATTAAAGTTTAGGATTTCCTCACTTTGATAGGTTCAACTAATCAAAGCTATCAGATGTTGTGTTTCAGTTACTGTGTGCACAAAATTATGAGAAAGCAGCTAATGAAAGATATGATATAAAAGATAGTGAAGTTATTTAGTAAAAACAATTTGAGCAATACAGCTAAACGCCACTATGCAACAATTGCCTCTGAATTTATGACCGATTATTTAGGAACACTATTTATTATTTCAATCATCATGATATACCACCAATGGAAAGATTTTTTATTTTTATGAAGGTTCCCCAGCTTTCTAGATAAGTAACTAACAACTGTTTACAACAAAATATTTTCATGATTTAATTCACTATGAA